GAAGAAAAAGAAGAAAAATAAGAAGAAGGAATAATAATAAAATAATAACAACAATAATAATAATAATAAGAAGAAGAAGAAGAAGAAGAAAAATAATAAGGAGAATAATAATAATAATAATAATAAGAAGAAGAAGAAGAAGAAGAAGAAGAAAATAATAATAAGAAAATAATAAATAATAATAATAATAATAATAATAATAATAATAATAAGAAGAAGAAGAAGAAGAAGAAGAAGAAAAATAATAAGAAGAAGAAGAAGAAAAAGAAGAAATAATAACAACAACAACAACAATAAGAAGAAAGAAATAATAAGGAGAATAAGGAAATGAATATAAAAAATCGTCACGATAGAGTGGGCAATACTTACACTGGACAAATTGCAAACACTTTGGAAAAATGGTATGAACATCGGCCAGCGCCGGTTACAGAAATAGAAGATGTCACCATTCTATAATTAACCAACAACAGAAAAATTGAAGAAATAGAATTATTGTCAAAAAACCAGAAAGAAAAAACTTGCCTACTAAAGAAAACAAGAAAAACTAAAAATACAAAGACCTGAAATTGAAATAGAAAAATGTGGAAAATTGAAAACAAGAATAATACCAGTGGTAATAGGTGCACTTGGAATTATAAAAAATGGAACAAAACAACACATTGAAAGAATCCTGAAACCCCAGCTTAGAGACATACAGAAAATTGTCTTATTAAGTACAGCACACACACTAAGGAGAACTTTGTCTATGTAACGCTAGCAACATAGATAAAAAAAAAAAAAAAAAAAAAATTAACATGAAATGTAATATAACAACACACCACGACCTGCCTTAGGTATTCCAGACTTAAAGGTAGTGTGTCCATAACAGAAATTTTAATAAAATAATAATAATAATAATAATAATAATAATAATAAGAAGAAGAAGAAGAAGAAGAAGAAAGCAACACCATGATTGTATATAAACTATAATATCTATAGAGCGGAATATAATTAAATTTTAAAAAAAAAAGAACAACCAACATATTGTCCACTGATATAAATTTTCACGAAAAGAAAAAAAAAAACTCTTTCAAATATGACGTATTCAGAATGGAACATAATAAAAAATATTCGAGAAAGGAACAGAGGGAGTGGGGACTATAGAAAGAGAGCTAGGGAGATAGAAAAAGAGAGACAGAAATGGAGAGAGAAAAGGGAGAGAAAGAGTTAGGGAGCGAAAGAGACAGAGAAAGAGATAGAGAAAAAGTGGGGGGTCGAGAAAGAGAAAGATAGTGAGGGTATACAGGGTGCGGCTGGTATTTGAGGACAGATTTTATGGATTCGTAAAAAACTTGATGAACAAATGAATATAATAATATTTGATTACAACAAATTAAACATAAAATTTAGCTATTATTTAATTTTATTCAATAAAACCACCACTAGTATCAATAACTGCCTCTACACGAGATCGAAATCGGCTGCAAGTTCTGATTAATTGGTCCTTATTTATGTCAGACATTACACGAACTATTGCAGCTTTAAGAGACTCATTGGTGTTATGAAGCTGTTTATTAACCTCCTTCTCAACAACGCTCCACACATAATAGTCTAGTGGATTAAGATCTGGAGAGTTAGGAGGCCAAATGTTGGGTGTGATGTGGTCATACAAATGGTCAGCCATTCATTCTTATGTTCGTAGAGCCTTGTGGGACGGAGCCGAGTCTTGCTGAAATATGTAAGGTTTGTTGCATATATTTTCAATCCAGGGCTTGACAACTGTTTCTAGAACCTCAATATAAGCAGCAGCATTTACTCTAAGACCTTGTGGAAAAAAGTGTGGTAGCATAACATGTCCTTCATTGCTAACAACACCCAATACCATAACACTTGAAGGAAATTTTGTGCTCATCACTCTTGGTACCTCAGAAGGATCTGAACAAAGCCATCTGTCATTTCTTCTGTTAAGTTTTTGATCTTGATCAAATTGTTTCTCACCTGAGAAAAAACCAAATCACACCAGCTTCTGAGGGATTTTTAAGTTTGTTTAAAAACCTTTTGGATCTGTTTAGACGTTTTTCTTTTGTTTTTTCAGTCATAAATTGACCTCTCTTCATCATGCAGGACTTGTATTAAATGTCTTCATGAACACTTCTGATTGTTTTTTCAGACACATGAAGCCTTTTGGCAATTGACCTCATTGATTGACCTCGGTGTTCATCAATTGTCTGCTTGACTTCCTGAATAAATTCGGATGTTCTCACTTTATCAGAACGTGCAGAATGTCTTTTACGTTTTGACACAGACATTGGGGAACTGTCAGCGTCTTCTAACTCTTTTCGTATCTTGTAGACAAAGGATCTTGCAACTCTGAGGAAACGTACAATATCCAAATCGCTATGATCAGCCTTTAATGCCAAAATCACAGCATGCCTTTTCATTTCATTTCATTATCATAAGGTTTGCCATTCTTGATTTCTGAAAAATAAAAGCATTAGAAGTTAGTGGGAAGCAGTATTAATCTTAAATATGTATGTCCTCAAATACCAGCCGCACCGTGTATTTATTGCAAAATCCAAATACACAACGGCACGGTTCCGCATATATATATATATATATATATATATATATATATATATATATATATATATATATATAACACAGCCATAGTAATATACACGCTTACGCACATCATGCTCACTCACTCCCTAAGAACCAAATAATACACACACACACTTAACAGAGACACATGCCCTTTCCAGGAATCAATAAAACTATCAAAATGACCAAGGGAATTCAGAGCAGCATGAACCCATCCAGCTCTTATCTCAAATAACAACTTAAAAGAGACTGTTTGACCAACACAAGTACTGAACAAAATTCATGTTAAAAAATAAAAAAAAAAAAAAATAAATGAAAACTACAGACAAAAGTTCATTTTCTACATCATGACATTCATTTCTGTAGTTCACTGCTACCATCAAGCAGGAAATTTTTTCTCTCCTGATGATGGCCATGTTAGCCGAAACTAGTCGAGGAATCTAAATGAAATAATAATAAAAACGAAAGAATGTTAATATACAACCCAGTGTGTCTGAAGATTTTAAATTTTAATATATTTTTTGTTGTTCAATATATATATATATATATATATATATATATATATATATGTGTGTGTGTGTGTGTGTGTGTGTATATATATATATATATATATATATATATATATATATATATATATATATATATATATATATAAACCTAGTAACAGCAAAATTGTCCAAATCGCGTATCTGCATGGGATAATTGTCCAAAAATAAAATTAAAAAATAATAAAATATTCAATATCTAATAAACCACGAAACTAATCGAGCTTTTTCCACGTTTTACCAGGTTTTGAGATAAGACATTTAGCCATCGTACACAGTTTGTCGTAAGATACACCAGATGAATTATTCAGCTAGAAAGAGAACAGGTAAAATTATTTTGTGTCTGCCCACATTATGTCTTCCCAACTGAGCAATAGTGAGAGGAAATAGATGATTCACGCTTTCCGTAATGGTGCCAACATTCATACTCTGGCTTCCATCTTCAAAGTCCATTCAAGAACCATCAAGAGAATGGTGAATAAGTTTTTAAAAGAGGGAACAGTGGAGATGAAAACTGGACCAGGAGGTCACAACAGGGAGAAGAATCCTTATTTCAACTTACAGCTAAAGAGATCAATTAGAAAAGATTCAACTCAATCCTTAAGACGTTTGACACACGAGTGATGAGTTTCAGCTATGACAGTCCAAAGGGCAGTGAAAAAAGAAATGGAGTTAAATAGATTCTTATTGTCCAAGAGCTCTAGGCTATCCAGTCACAGCAAAAAACGATTCACAGCGTCAGCCCTCAACGAGACACAGCTCGAGTTGCTGCTTAAGTTTCACGTATTCGCAATCTTCAGGCGACTAGAACATCACACACACACACACACACACACACACACACACACACACACACACACACACACATATATATATATATATATATATGATATAATGGAATATGCATACACCTGTGTTCCCCCTCACTGGAATATGATTGGCTGGTGCCCGTCATAAATACAGACGGACGTGTAGGTACGACAGAGTTTAAGTCTAGGACGACGCCCATTGGACTACGCCATTGGCTATCCTATTGGTCTAGACCTATTACCTGGTGACTACGACGAGTACCAGCCGATTACTGCTACCGTGTACTACTTGGTTATAGTAGCCAAAAACCACTTAGATCAATATATATATATATATATATATATATATATATATATATATATATATATTAATAAATATGCATTTTCCTCACCGGTAACACGACTCGAACTTCATGCACAATACCTTGTATATGTATATGCTGTTTGATCGGCGAAACATGTTAGAAAATAACTAAATGTACAAATAGAGGCCTTTATCACTCCATCGGAATTTCATTCAGAATTTACTCAAATATATGATAGCCTGAAGATTGCATTTAAACATATGAAACAGATTGTCGCCACTCGTTGATAACCTCAGTGTCCATATATATATATATATATATATATATATATATATATAAAAAAAAGAACAGTAAGATATATAATCCGGTGTTCTTATAGATATTTTTTTTATTTTTACAAAATAGTGCTCAATATAAATTTAAACAGCATTAATATTATAAATTAATTGATTCAAAAATAGTTTTTTTTCGCTACACAGTTCTAACCCTGTTTCAAAAATGGAAGCTAAAAGCTTTGAATTTAATTTTGTAATCAAATTAAAGACATTAGTTCCATTTCATCTTCAAGCGAATTCGCAATCTTCAGGTGACTAGAATTCGCTTGAGGATGAAATGGAACTAATGTCTTTAATTTAATTACAAAATTAAATTCAAAGCTTTTAGCTTCCATTTTTGAAAGAGAGAGGAGGAGGATTCATACTTTCCCAATATAATGGATTCGACTGGAATTCGAACTCAGCTCTTCGATTCCTCAATCCAAGTCGCTATCCATTACTCCACCGTGCCACTCTCTCTCTCTCACTCACTCACTCACTCACTCTCTCTCTCATTTTTAATCAATATCTATCTATCTATCTATCTAATTTTCTTCGAATCTTTCTAATCTTCTCAACTTCTATCTACATCAATCTAATTTTTCAATATCTATCTATCTACCTATCAAACAATCTATCTATCTATCTATCTATCTATCTATCTATCTATCTATCTTAATTTTCACTCTGAGGTCGTCTGAAGCTGGTGGAGAGGCGTGGCTTTAGCAAAGGGAGAAAAATCCTAAGGTCAAGTTGTGGATAGCATTGATCAATAAGTTCCTGAAAAAGAGAAAAAAGACTGTGAGATGACGGCAAACACACCGCCAGTATTTTTTTATTATATATATATATATAGATAGATGTATGTATGTATGTATGTATATATATATATATGTATGTATATATATATATATATATATATATATATATATATATATATATATATATATATATATATATATATATATCAAGTGAAATTAGTAACAACTGACCTAGATTAAGAAATTTTACTAAAGAAAGATTGTGTATTGGGCAATCTATTCCGGTTTATATTGATTTGACTGTTTCAGAAAATAAAAAGTACAGATAACAACTCAAATACTTGCACCCACTAAAATGAAGTTTATATTAACATATCATATATATATATATATATATATATATATATATATATATATATATATATATATATATATAAAAATTGGTTGAAAGTTTCTGTACAAAAACTTATTGTATAGACTAACATGAGAAGTGAAAAAAGGCACATAGTATTTAATATAGTCTTATATATTTCTAACAGATGAATTTTTACAAAGAAAAAATATAATTTTGTTGCTTAAATTGCTTAAATTTTACTTTTTTCAACTTGCTTTTTTTTGTTTTATCCGGTTTCGCTTTGCTTTTCAAAAAGTTTTGAACAAATAAAAATCAATATATATATATATATATATATATATATATATATATATATATATGTGTGTGTGTGTGTGTGTGTGTGTGTGTGTGTGTGTGTGTTTTGAAAAATCCATTATTTATTTCTGTAGAAATTGCCACGTTTATGCTTCGAATACAAAACTCTGGCTTTAATGTTTTTCGAGAAAAACTCCGAACGAGCAAAGTGTGCTTTAAAGCAAATAAAAACTTTCCCGCTGAAGAAGCTCTTCGTAGACGTGACTTCAAAGCACATCGTATCAAACTACGTTTTCTCTTGCAAATATAAACGAGGCTTCGAATCCTGCCGAAGGGCGTGTTCTCTTTAATAAGTTTTCTCGAGTAATCAGGCCGCCAGACAAAATTAAATACTGTTTAAAAAAAAAAAAACGGAACGTCTATTCAAATATTCACTAAAAAATCGTTTAAAATAAATATATATATATATATATATATATATATATATATATATATATATATATTTATATTCTATATATATAATATAAAATATTTAAAAAAAAAAATAAAATTAAAATCTTCAGACACACTGGGTTGTAGATTAATATTCTTTCGTTTTTTTATTATTATTTCATTTAGATTCCTCGACTAGTTTCGGTCAAAATGGCCATCATCGGGAGAATAAATATTTCTGCTTGCTGGTAGCAGTAAACTACAGAAAATATATATATATATATATATATATATATATATATATATATATATATATATATAAACTATAAATATATATATATATAAATATATAAACTATATATATATATATATATATATAAACTATAAACTATATATATATATATATATATATGTGTTTATATATATATATATTTATATATATATATATATATATATATATATATATATTGTCATCAGACAGACACTGTTTCGCTTATCTGTATCATATATATATATATATATATATATATATATATATATATATATATATATATATATAATTGTAAATTTGTAAATTCGTGTAAGAACAAGTGCTCTTCAACCTTATTTTAAAAAGTAAAATAAATTCTGTGAATGTATTTTATTAGTTTTAAATTTTAGATTACACTAAAAAAAAGGATATTGCTGTAGTTGGAGCCAAATGTACTTCAAAACCCACGCATCTGATGATAATTTTTTTTTTAAGATGGAGGTATCGTTTTTTGTTTTTTTTAAATAAAATGAAAAGTGGGACTTTACAAATTATGATAAAAAAGAGATTAAATTACAATTCGTTAAAATTAATTGTTTGAAATGGATTTAAACCCTCAAATGAACACGTTGCATTTTTTTTCCTCTCCTCGCTTTTTCTGTCCGTGCTGATTACCCACGATTTGAAAATTATCGCGACTGAAAAAGCTGGGAGATCCTTAATAGAGGGTAAAAGGTAAAACAATTATTTTTTTTTTCATTTAAAAAATGTGTAGCGTTTTTTATCCAAATCTTCCAAGATAAAAAAGACTACTAATATTTTTTTTTTACAATATCGCGAATTAAATAATTAGTAAATAATTAATAATAAAATCAAAAAGACAATTAACGAAAATGTCTCTTAATTTTTATTAATGAGAAATTTTTGCCGGTTCTTTCAATTTCAGGAGCAAATCAAATATGTCGGGACTATAACTTTTTATTAACTTAATAACAAGGCTAGAGGAAAGTGCTTTCGGTGTGTAGAAGCTATTTAAAAGAAAAATTCGATCTCCCTTTAGAATTTCGTAAAGTTAGCCTTGTGTCTCACTGAGTTTGATTCAAGTAAATTAAAAAAAAAACAGTGATAAAATCAAATTGTTCGTAAACGGGAAATGGGGAAATATAAAAATGAATTCAAGTAATACAATTCTAACAGCTTTGAGAAGCAGTGAGGTTTGTAACTTAGCACAAAATGATCAAATGGACAAGGAAGATTATGTTGCTCCAGCTGAGGCCAACATATATAACTTGAATGTTAAAATTTACAAGAATTGTTGTCCGGTGTCTTATTAAGAATTTATTTTTGTGGTTTAGCTTGAAAAAAGGTAGAAATTTGCAATAATGTCCCTTGAGACTAGATATCCTTCCTTATTTATTTTGGCTATTTTGTGCTCGATGAGTTTTCCAACCATTGCTCTTAGAAGAAAATCACATGACGAGAAGTCTTCACAATCGTCTAACACTTTCCTTCGTGGAATATCATTTTATTGCGACTATTTACAGACATAGTAATTCTTATTATTTTTACCGATACTTTTGCGACTACTTACTACTACTACTACTACTACTAATAATAATAATAATAATAATTTACGCACACTGAAATTAGTCCTTCTTAACATATTAGGCAAAAGTATTAGAAATCTCAGTGAAGATTAAAGGCAGCATATAATAATAATAATAATGATTTTAAGCTAATCGCCCAGACATCGTTATCAGAGACCGCAAATAAAAAAAAGTGCCTCCTTATTGATGTTATTGATATGACATTCCATGTCGTGGCCTGATGATTGCATCTAGCATGAAACAGAATGCCGCCTCTAAGTGTTGACTTCTATGTTCACTTATATATATATATATATATATATATATATATATATATATATATATATATATATATATATATTGTATCTGTGATTTACAAAGTCTCCTACAACGGACATTACAAAATTTTTTACTCATTATTTATTAATGATTACTTAATTATTTGTTGTATGTATGTTTTATAAAATAATGGAAGCCTTATTAATAAAAACAACAAAAAATACAACACTTAATAATATTAATTTTGAACATGGACACAATATCTTGACCGTGTATTGAAAAATGAAAACATTTTATAAAACGTACATACAACAAACTATTTCTTATTTAACAGTTAAAATATTTAATCCTTGAAAATGGCTAAATGTATAGCCGAAAGCGCTCGGATAAAAAAAAGAAAACATTTTGACAGTTTTTATATAATTTATCATCTGAAAAGAAAAAAATTATGAGAAATTGTATAAAAAATTAAATAAAAGCACCTTATCTGTCGTATTCAATGAAATGTGCATGAAAGAAGGATTGCTGCCTAGATACACAAATATATATATATATATATATATATATATATATATATATATATATATATATATATATCGTATATATACTGCTGATGTCAATGAAACAGTGCTCGATATAATATTACAACTATTAAGTATATATTAGTAAATATACATATTATTCCTCACTGGTAGCACGACTCAGAGTTTAATGCACAACGCAATCTTCAGGTTCTGAGTATGGATAATTAAAAAAAATTAATCTCAGCTTAATATATACCTGCGCCGGCGTTTGTGATAACCAGATATACAAAAAATTCAAATACTGTCACGGCCAGTCCATACTTGAGTCTTACAAGTGATAAGTGATAATATGTTTATTTATTAATACACACACACACACACACACACACACACACACACACAAACACTCATACACACACAAAAATATATATATATATATATATATATATATATATATATATATATATATGATTGAATAAATTACAGACATTATGTCTGCTAATTTTTAATAAAATCCATTCATATTCTCGAATAACCTTCGGTGTTTTGATGTTAATGGATGAGAGAAATGTGCTATGGCTGTTTAAATTTCTTTTATTTTCATTTCCCAATATTATATACCAATTTAAATGTTCCTTGGGAGAATGTATCTCCGACAAAAAAAAATGTATTTGGATATACGACAAATACACTAACAAGACGGCTTACACTGCACATGTCTGACCATTCGTTCATTGCGAGACATCTACAACACTATTCCTGTACACATTCACAATATAAAAAATTACTTATCGACAACACAGCTATCCTACACCATGAAAACAACAAAAATAGATTACAGATACTAGAAACAATTTATATTACAAAATTAAAGCCGGCACTGAACAGAATCAACTAAATCAATGAATACTGCATTAATGTTCTGAAATGCCTGTAAAGAAACAGTTTTTTCATGCTTTAATGCGCACGTGACCATGACATTATAACATAGAGGAAAAAATTCCATGATGGATAATTTTTTCACGTTCTAATGAACGCTCAGCACATTGTCAACCGTTTTGCATTTAATAGCATAATTGAAAAAATCAAGGTAATGGATAACAACGCACAACTTTGTATAAATACTTGTACTAATGAACAATATATAGTTTTCTACTATTCGCACACCTGAAGATGATCTTGGAAGAAGATTGAAAGT